GGGGGGGGGGCGGCCGGGCCGGGGCTCAACGCCGGCCTCTTCCAGGCTTGATCCACAAGGCGACGGTGAAGACGGTGAACCCGGACCGGTCCTCCGTGTCCGTGGAGTGGTGCGAGGGCGGCACCGTCAAGGGCAAGGAGGTGAGTGACGGCCTGACCTCAAGGTTCTGCGCAATTACGGCGACGCGATGGACGCGCCCGGGTAAGGCGCGAACGCGGCAGCGGAGCGGTGCCGAGGCCGGGCTCTTCCCGCTCAGGGCGAGCTGCCGGCCGCTCGGTCGGAACGCCCCGGAGTCCCGGTTTTCCCGGCTCTGGGGCTGTTCGTGTCTCTGGCAATGGCCTTCAGGCTTTCCCCAGGACATGGTGTGCCGCGTTAAGAGGGCTCCCTTTGATTTCCCGAGTCTCTGCGCTGGCGTGAAATACACCCTGTGTGAGGTGGGGGCGGGGAGAGTCTGGGGCACATGAAGTTGGTGCGGCTGAAATCCTGCCACTTAACAAAATCTTCTTTGGTAATGAGCAAACATGCTTGTCCTGCTGGTTTCTCTGGAAACATATATACTCTACAGTTTAGTTAAAATCTTAAAGTTGCTATTGGCTGGTTCTTTGAAACGGGATCTTGTACTGCCTATGTGTATGCTGGGTTCATATATGCAAAATGTGCAGATTCAGATGTCATTGCTGGCTAAATTGCGTGCATGTGTTACAATACTAAATCTTTATGAAGATGCTTCAAAGTTCAGCAATCTTCTTATATGTTTACACATACACTGTGTATATACACTTACGTACACTTATATATTATACTGTCTACATATACCTGTTTCTGAGCTAATTCACTTTCCAGTTAGATACTTACAGATTCCATATAAATGAAATTTTAAAGATTACTTTTCTTACGTTAGAATGTAGTATCTCCACATTTTACAGGGGTTCATGTCCTTGTTTTTGCTATTTTTATGGACTCTTATTTCATTTAAGTAACTTAAAAGTGAATTGAGAACTCAAGAACTTCCTGGAGTGGTGCTTGTGTTGCTTTGTTAGGTGAATTCCAGTGCCAGCTGCTGTGATACTGGAGTTTTTGTGTACATGTGCTTTCAACCTCTTCTGGGGGGTTAGGTTTGAAAAACTGAACCGAGAAAGTTGCTGTCTTTTGTGTTCAAGCCTGCCCTTGGCCGCCTGCCCCCACTTCATTCTCGCTGCCCTGTGGTTGCCTGCGCCAGGGCGCTGCAGAATGTGGTGAAGGCAGGATTATGACTTCACTGGAGGGTCAGGCAGGAGGCAGTAGCTGGCCCTAGGTGAAATCACTTGCAACAGCAAGTGAAAATGCAGGTGAATTGACTTGTGGATTAAATGCTGAATCCTTAATTTCCCAAAGTCTAAGCAGCTCTTTGAAGTTTATTTCAGTAAGCACAATCACACAGTAAATACTTAATGCTTTCCTAGCACAGAAGTCACAGAGCAGCTGAGATTTACTAAGATTAGCAGTAAGAGATTAAAGCAGTTGATGCCAAATGTGCTTTGCCCATCTCTTCAGAAGTGTTCTATGGCACCTGCAGAGCTGCGTGGTATTTGGCAGATGAGGGTAAATGGCTTAACTAGCACATTTCTTCCAGCATATTTGGATGTATGAGATTATTCAAATAGAATATGAACTACTGTGTTGCCCTTCCAGGCAATTTTAACCTAATATTTGGCAGGCAGTGGGTCAGGTTTGTTTGCCTGTACTGAAAGTCAAGGTTAAAAAAGAAAAATGCCGTAAGCGGTAGCAGCAATATTCCACTCTGTAAAATCCTGTCTTTGCTCTTGTAGATTGAGATTGATGATGTGATAACAATAAATCCTGAGTTATCAGAAGAACTGCTTGCTGCAGATGTGAAAGAGAACCTTCCTTTGCAAGAGAATGTAACTGTACAGGTAAGTGCTTTAAAGTGATTTAGTCTCTCCTAAGGTACTAAAGCATCAACAGCGTAGGTCGTTATAAGCAATACCCTCAGTCTTCAAGTTTGAGGTCTCTAACTTGTCTTTTTTGTCTCTTAGTTAAGACTTTGGTCAGAAATTCTTGTCCTTGTGAAGAAGTTGTCTTGAAGTGCTGTGCTAGGTGTTTGCAGTTTACTCTGATTACTTACAGCATTCATTGTTTTTCAGAAACAGAAGCGTAGAACAACCCTTTCAAAAATTCCTGCTCCACGGGAAGGTGAGAAAATGTTCTCTTGTCTGTTATACCCCTGTGAAACTGTGGTGGTCTTTCATTGTAGACATAATATTCTACTTTTGTGCATCATAAGGCTGCTCATTCAGGCAATGCTAATCAAGAGCATATCGTTTCATACCAACATTTTGCACTCCGGAGTGCAGAAACTTTGCTAACAGATTGCTGTCCTGTTCCTGTGAGCTGGGGTTTGTTGATGTGTTGCCCTTTTCTGCAGCATTGCTGTAGTTATTCCTTGATACTGCTTTAAATGTCACTAGGCAGTTACTGTTGCAGTGAGTTTTAAAGTTTCCTATGGAGTTTTGCAGATGCCACAAACAATAAGAGGTAAGTGGCACTTATTAGGATTAAAAGTGTCCAAATGAGAGTGGAAAGGGCAAGAAAGAAATAGCGGTGACAAATGGATGTCTCCCCTTCAAGCAGTCCCCCTAGACAATAACTAGAGCTTTATCCTTGGAGACATTTCAGACCAGGCAGGCAAAGTGCCAGCTGGTGCGCCATAGCTCAGTGACTCTATGTCAGAACAATGTTTTGAGCAAAGCCAGAAGGAAAAGATAGAGATGTCACAGTGTGGGATTGTTAAGGAATTGTTTTTCCTGAGGTGTCAGGAGTTAGAAAACTCCCATGTTTTCTACCTTCTTTTAGCTTATTCATTGACTCTTTTGACTTTTTGAATTGCAAGTGGCAGCATTACAGGTCTATTTGTAATACACTTGTGTGATGCTGAGGTTGAATGGTTGCTAGTTTAATTATTATCCTAAAGTGCATAGTTAGCCAAAATTTGTGCTTTTCCATGTAATTGAGCTGTAAACAAAACATCTGGGCTTGTCTGGCCTCTTTTGTTGTATGCAATGCAAGAGAGGGAAGCCGGTACCAGAAGACAACAATACAAATCCCCTTGCATCAGAAAGGCAGGAGTAGTCCGAGAAACTTGAAGTGTAAAAAGCTGTTCTGTACTAGAGCATCCTGATCTTCCTCAAATCCAGAAAACTCTCCATAAATTTTGTGAACTGGCAAGCAAAATGAAGTGGTAAAAGTTATGACTGTCTCTAGACAGGTCATTTAATGGAGCTGGATAGCCAGCTAGAAAAAAAAAAGGTGTGTTAATCCAGTCACTGATTGATGGAAAAATGTCCTCACAGAGGTCATGGCTTTCCTGACATATAGAATCTAATGGCAAATCTGAAATTCTGTTGTCTTTCCTACTGGCACAGTCTTGTCCCTGAAGACCTGCTCAGAGTACAGGAAAGAATCAGTGTTTTCAGTATTCCTCAAATATTATTATCTGTTATTAGAGCTAGCTAAACCCCGTGAGTTAGTGAGTATCTGTCCTGTTGCAAACTCTGCACTGCACCAATGAGCTAACATTGGCTTCAAGTTTTGGTTCTTGGGCTAAACAAATTAGAGAAGATCAGGAGGTGTCTGTCTCCATCTCATTCAGGAAAGTGAGAGAAGCAGAAGCAGTGCTTTCAGAATGAATTAAGAAACAATATTGCCACAGTCCTCGGAATCAACAAGAATTTTGGAGGATGCTGAATAGCCTCGTGTACAAGAATCACTTGAATCAAGCCCATTTAGATGCAGCAAATCCTCCAGTTGGTATGCCTGTCCAGGAGCACTAGCATTTACAGAAAAAGTGCTGCTGAGTTTGGTGAGACCTGGTGTGGGCATGTGTGACAAAAGTAAATGGAATAAAATGCTATCTCTGAGCATAATGAAACTGATGCTTTTTGTTCCTAAAGTTGTGGCAGTGACACCCAATGTCTCTGCACCTGAGCAAAAGATTCCAGGTAAAGAGTTAACAGATATGAAGACTGAATTTTGTGGGTACAGTTGTAAGGAATTTGTTCCATAATTGAAATCAACCATTGGGCTGAAACAAATCTAATGTCCTTTAAAGTCATAGCCATTAATTCTGGATAAATTCTTGTGATTGCTAGAAGTGAAGGTAGTTCTAGTTTTCATATCACACTTCTAATTTTTTCCTATCAGATTTGTTTTCTTTACAAATCTATTGAGGTATATGTTCCAATCCCTTCCCCAGGCAGCTTTGTGAGAGACTTGGACTCAGTGAAAGAAATATACCTTGAGATGTGACAATGGAGACTGCCTACAAAAGGACCCTTTCCAAAGATTTGCTGTTGTGATTATATAGAGTCTTTTAGCTGAATTTAGTGTTATCAAGCTCCCACTCCACTGTGCACCATGCACACTGTCTGTGTGTGGGTGCTGTGATGGTGGGCGTGATGCTGCCCATGACCAGTTGCCAGACTGCAATACTACTGCCACAATCAAACAGTTAATTCACACAGGCCTGCAAGTGTGAAGCTTCAGAGGATTTCCCAGCTCCCTGACCTTTAACTTCCTCCTTCCTAGGTATTAAGGTTCTGGAACTGCCATATTAGTGAATCCTTAGTGGTATCTGAAAGAAATTCACTGGAACCGCAAATCTGGAATGAACTGTTCGCTTTTTTTGTAGTGCTGTATTTCATAATCACTTTTCACCCACCTACATTGTTTTGTCCTGCACTTGGCTAAAGCATCAGAGATCTGGAAATGGTCCTTTTAACCACACCTTGTTCCCCACTGTTCTGCATTTTGTGAGCATTTGATTACTTGTAAATGTCCGAGTGTCTGAGGCATGATGCTGACCTTGAATTTGTGTTTCCAAAGCTGTTCGTGGCCGTTCCAGGATGTCTGTTATCACAGAATCTCAGTGCAGCCTCCAGGAAAATGAGATGGGGGTGGATTCTTGTACTTCTACACAAACCAGAAACAATTTATCAGTTCCTGGTGAGTGGAGAAAGCCCAGTGAATTCTTACTATGAAACAAGATGCTTTGTATGCATTTCATTAGGTAAACTGCAAATCCCGGTGGGGAGGAGCAACCTCTGTGCCTTCATCTATGAAACAAGAGAGACCTAGAGGTCTGCCACTCTGTAAATATCCAGGGGCCCTACCTGAAGGGGTTCTCAAAGGACTTTGGAAACAATGTTGTTGAATAATGATGTGCTTTGTTAGCCAGAGAGCTGCGGTTGTGCATGTGGGTGGATGTGGTATCTGCTTGACAGCATAAAGTGGTATTCACAGGGCTAGAGTGGGAAGAGAGGTACCTTAATACTGCTGACAATGTGCTCTGTAACTAGACTGGTAGTAGTTTTACCTATACTGGTTGAGTAAGGCAAGAACTTGAGTCTACTTGAATTATGAAATTGTAGTTATTTATCTTTACCAGACCTACCCTACGAATAGCTGAGGGCATCCTTTGTCTATTATGTTCTGCAAAGACATTGAAATAAGAGGCTTGATACTAAATTCTTGTCTAGTCAGCGTGGCCTTGATCTGTAGCTTTGAATAAAAGTTGGTGATTGGCACAGGATTTAAAAAATTATTTGAACACTTACCACAGGTTTTAGCTAGTTCTCTCTACTGATCCAGAATCAGAGCTGAGGAATGCCTGTGGTCTGTGAGGCTTTAGAAATTACAAAATTATTCTTGATCTTTGGGATCTAATTATTGGTTTTGGTCTGGCTTCTTTCTGCAGCTGGCCGAACCAGGACTAGCAGGCTGCACTGTGCTCCAGAAGCCTCACTGACAAATGTAAATGGAAATACAGAGGATCATCTGCCTGCTGCTAGAATGAGCTCTTCAGGCAGCCCAGGTACCAGGGAGCAGTGGGTAAGAACTGACTGAGCAAGTCAGCAGTGCATCGCTATGTGATTGCTGCTTTGTATAGTCTGAGACTAAAGCTTTGAAAAGGTGGCTTTGGCAGTAAGACTGAATATCCTGAGTATTTGTTATTACAAATGTGTAATTCTGTTATAGTGCTATTGCCTCAAATGCTGCCTTTAGAGTGGTACTGTGACTTCCTAGGCAGTTTCTGTGATGGGTAGATCTAGTTTGGGAAGGAAGTGCTGCAAAATTCATGACCATCCTTCTGAAGAGGATTGTTTCCTGTACAAGTTATTCTGTCAGCAACCTGGAAAAGTTGAAATATTTGTATTGTGCTTAAAACCTGGTATGAAAATTTATCCAATGAAATGTTTTTATTTTACCTAGTTCGGAGAATATCTAACATTGTGAAAGAGATGGAGAAAATGAAAAACAAGAGAGAAGAAAAGAGAGCTCAAATTAGTGAAATCAGGACAAAACGTGCACAGGTGGAGTACTCCGCAATACATCAGTAAGGGGAAATTCTATAGGACAGTGTATCACAATAGTTGAAACTAAACCATATTTTGGACAGGCTTTGTTCTTACAAAGCTGTACATAAGGATGGATTGATTCTAGTTTCAGAAAGCTCTGGATCTTGTGAAATATTTCTAATTGTGTACAGCTGATTGTTTAGTATGCTCTGGGGATTTTTTTTGCTGTAACAGGTTAATTACCTTCACATCTGTGGCTTTTTCCATGCAGGAATTTGACAGCAGCTGTCCAAACTGGGAGTTTGCACAGATGATCAAGGAATTCAGAGCAACTTTAGACTGCCAGCCAATATCTATAACTGACCCAGTAAGTAAATACTGAGGCTACTAACTGCAGCTGGTAAACAGACTTCTTTATTTTGTACTGAAGATTTTAGCATATGAGCAATTTAGTGCATCACTGCACCTTGGAAATCCTCTGAGCATATTGTGTGCTTGAGGCACCTGGTGGTATATGTGAGGTCACTTACCTTCCCTATTTAGGGCTAAGCTAAGCTGCCTTGCATTACTTTGCATATGTCACTAGTGAAGAGCTTGCACTTTAACAATTATCATGCAATGATTTGTGTGGTAACATCAGTACTTTTCAGAGCTTGTAAATGGCAGAGCCTATTACATAGCAGCTTAGCTTATTGTAGGTATAGGTATAATTTAAAATGGACTATTGCCCTATTACAGAAAGTGTTATTGTATGTAAGTCACATATGAAGTAATTTTAAACTAGGTCAAAAAGCAGAGGAACAAAAGTAGAGGTCAAAAACTAGAAAAACCAGGCTCGGTCAATGTCTTCAGCAATTATGGAGGTAGCATTGTTTAATACCTGAGAACAAGTAGTCCCTGTCTAGCAAAACTTTGTTATGGTCACTGAAAAATGACAGCATTTAAGTTCAAACAAAAAAGCAGGTGTGGACTAGCTTAGAACGCTAGGTGGTTTGTGTGCCTGCATCCTATGGGGCTGGGAACCAGCTGTTTGTGTGCGTATCACTGCATGACAGAAGAAGAGTTTGTCATCATCTCCTTTCTGCCTCACCCAAACTCAGCTGATCTGTAGCTATGCTGCACAAATAGCTAAACTTACTGCATTAGTAAAGAACTCAGGTCAAAAAATACCTTTAGTTTAGGGTAAACTAAAATAATAATTTGCCTGGATTTGACCATAATTGCAGTATTGATATCACAGATTTTGCTGGAAAGCTGGCCAAGGACTAAACTTTTTACTAATTCTCATACAGAATATTTGGGGCACTTTCTATAGCATAGCAGCATTTCCACCTGATATGTTGGAGCATGCTACATAAAGGTCAATTGTTTTTAGTGTTTCTTTTGCACTGAACAGACTTTGACTTACATCCCTGCATGAGTGGCTCTGATCAGTAGCAGAGACAACTCTGACCAGTATATAGAAAAGTAGATGTGAGGGAGCATCAGATCATTCTCTCTGTAATAATAAGTAGGTGTGGGTGTCATTGGGAAATAATTCTTGTTTTCTTACTTTCCTTTTAGATAGAAGAACATAGGATTTGTGTCTGTGTGAGGAAGCGCCCTCTCAATAAACAAGGTGAGTGTACTGACAAAGCAGTTGTGTCTTGGAGCAGTTTGACATTGCTTATTCTTGTTAACACTGAGGGTCTTTTCTGTCAACAGAACTTCTAAAAAAGGAATGTGATGTGATTACTGTTCCGAGCAAGAGTGTCCTGCTGGTGCATGAGCCAAAGCAGAAAGTGGACCTAACAAAATACCTTGATACCCAAGCATTTAGATTTGACTTTTCATTTGATGAATCCTCATCTAATGAAATGGTATACAGGTAATGCTTTCTTCTCACTGGTAACAACTCTCAAGATTAACAGCATGGAGCTATGGCTAGATGGCATCCTGGCTTAAAGAAACTGCTACCCGAAATAAATATTAAAATCCTTTTTGGAGGAAACCAAAGGACTGAGAGGTCTAAAGGTTATTTTTGGCATGGCCCTGCTGATTTCCTAAGGATTTGCTTTTTTTTGCCCCCTTTTTTTTTTTTTTTTTTAGGAAAACTGATGAAGCAGGGTGTGAAATGCTTGCCTTAACTGTCTTTTACCTTCTGAATATCCAGGTTTACTGCTAGACCTCTTGTGGAGACCATCTTTGAGGGTGGGAAGGCGACGTGCTTTGCATATGGCCAGACAGGCAGTGGCAAGACACATGTAAGTTTTTCTCCAAGGTCTTGAATTTTCTAGCTTTCAAGTATTTTAAAGGTCCTTGATGTTGATAATTAGTAGGATTGTGTAAGGAGTTTGGATCCTGGTTTTATTGTCTTAAAGCTAATGCTTTGTCAGTTGTTAATGCACTTTTTCTGTAGTTTTACATATTGGTGGGTTTCCTTTAAGGTTGTGAGGAAAATCATACTAAAATCCCCCCCATAGCTGGGATTTTAAAGACTTAAGATGTCCTGACATGTTAGTCATGGCTATACCTTGCCTCAGATGGCTGTCTGACTAACTCCAGTCTGCAAAGTGGGGCTATTAGCCTACATCTGAGACAAAGGCTATTGTCTGTACTGTGTTTTGAGCTTAGAGGCATTCCAAAGACTTTATCGATTATGGAAGAATAAGCCTCTTGTTGCAGATAAACATTTAAGTGATATGGTATTGTTTGTGAAGTGGGCAAATTAGTGTATTCACTTTCTAACCACTCCTTCTGGTCTACCAGTTGCAGTTTCAAGAGACCTAAAGATTGTGTTTTCTGCCTCAGAGGTGATCTTCTCTAAATTTTCAACAAGGGTGTTGTCTTTTTAACTTTCTTCTTCTGGAAACTACAGGGAAGGAAAGTGGGAAACTATCTTCCCTCACAGCATGATAGTGGAGTCAAATCTGCTGTCTTGTTCTGCAAGAAGCCTTTGCCTCAAACCACAGTGATCTCAACTAGGCTAGCCTGCCAGTTTGAGTAATCAGACAGTTGCTGTCATTACAGTGTTAGAGGCAAGTTTTGGGCTAGGTTCTCCTATCATTAGTGCTACCTAGCGAGCTGTAGATCTTTTCCAGTAATCCAGAAGGAAATTTGGAAGTTTATAGAAGCTTGGACATAGGCTGCCTCCATTGCAGCTCATTTGTGCATCGTTACAGGAGTACAACTGTGAGGCACTAAAATCATAGGCAATGAAGTTACTTTCCCTTCCTAATCCCAGGATGCAGAACTAGTGCAAGGACATTAGCTGTACCTTGAGACTGGAGTGCTGCATATTAAATGCTGGTAGATTGAGAATGTGTCATGATACTGAGTTGTGTTTTAAATAATGGCTGTTGCATATAAAAGTGGTAGAGCAAGTCACCAGGATAGCACCAACGGAAAGTTTTGTTGAGATTAAAGGTACCTTGGTCAAAGGAGTTAAAGGTATTGTTTACACTAGAAGTTTGATGTGTTTTGATATCACGTGAGCTTTTGCAAGTAGCATTGAAAATGTTACTCAACCTACGTCCTAACAAATGAAGCTTTGTTTCTTCTGACCAGAGGCTATTTGGTTGCACTGTCAAGGCCACGCATTTCCCCTTGAAGGAACAACTACTTTGATTCTGCACTGCAGAGCCTTACAGGCATTCAGCTGTTGTTTTGCATAGTCCAGATCTTCTTTCTGTACTGATAGGGAAGCAGCAAGCTAATTTTATCCTGAATTGCACTGTGTTCTAATCATCTCACTGACTTTGGAGCGTATATGTATATATGGTAACTTCCTAGTATGTTCTTGGGACTAAAATCAGGTAGCCTGACTTGTTTGGACCACACCTTACCTCTGGTCTTTTGTCTTCACAGACTATGGGTGGAGACTTCTCCGGGAGAGCACAGAATGCCTCAAAGGGCATATATGCTTTTGCATGTAAGTTGATTCTTCTTTAGATACGAAAATCAAATTAATGCTTGTTTTCCTTAAAAAGATAAGATCTGGTTTTGTATGGCTATTTAAAATGTTTCCAGTAAAAGATATATGAAGTATTTGTGTTTTCAGTAATAAGTAGTGGTGTTTGTTGCAGGAGGTATGATTATTTTTTCAGTTTCACAAAATATTTTCCATCCAGCCTGTAAGTTTCTAGATCCACACGTAACTCACCAGAAGATATTTGTTTTTGAGGCAAAGAGATGACATATTTTCTAGTTTGGCATTTGCTGGGCTGAACAATTTAACTTTGATTCTTCTGCTTTGCTTTTGTCTCAGATAAGGATGGTGTTTGGAGATACCCAACTTGAATGCAACGCAACCCTACCCATTTTTGATATAAAGGTTGTTATACAGAAAGCATATGAATGTATGTGTTATATTTCTTCCTGTAAGCATTAGATGCAAAAAAGCCTAGCACATACAAAATTATTTCAGAAAACAGATGCTTAAAGCCCCTCCTTGATACAATGCCTAGAACACACCATGAACCCTGACCTCCTCTACTTTCCCTTTAGAAAGGTATATTGTGAAACTAGTCTGTCTAGCAAGGCAGTTGAAACAAGAGCAACTGTTTGCTAGTCTCTGAAAATTAGTTATGACTGGCTGTGAAGGAGAGCCTTTGCTTTTCAGATCAATTTCAAAGTCTGAAGCCTAATTGTGAAAAGCAGCACTGGATCCAGCCAAAGGGTCAAATAATCTTGTACATTGTCTCCAAACAGCAGCAACTGCAGATGCTCAGGGATGTATGTTTTCTAGGCTTTACACAAGATGCTCTTGAAATATAAATACCTGACTTTTTCAGGCTTGTCCAAAACAATAGAGGATCCCAGTGTTCCCCAAAGGCCAGTAAGGATTGCTGTCTGCCAGTGACATTAACAGTAGAAACTTCCGTAGCCCCAGTGTGTTTTCAGTCCCTGGATGAGGATGCTGCTGAAACTGTTCTCCACATGGTAGCACAGCACTAGTTTTTTCACTAGCATTTAAGATAACTGTCATTCAGCTGCTAGACATGGTCTTATGGCTGCACAATATTTGAAAGCAGATCAAGTAGCAACTAGAACATGCTTTAAGCTAGTTAACTAAACTTCTGCTTTTCCTCAATAGCACAAGATGTCTTCCTCCTCCTAAACCAGCCCAGGTACAGGAGTCAGGACCTGGAAGTCTATGTGACTTTCTTTGAAATATACAATGGAAAGGTAAGACTCTCTCTTTTTCTTTCTTTCTTTTTTTTTTTTTAAATCTTGACTTGACTTCTTTGACTGTTTCATAAGTAGCTGAGTGAAACTTACCGGTTTCTATAGTTCTATATAGTCTATTGTTCTTGGTGTGTTTGGAATTGAATTGGAAGGCTGTGTTAAAGGTGCTGTTTCTATACAGCTTTCTATAAAGACAGTGCAAAATGCTTCCAAGGAGACTTTGTTCAGATTTGCCTCAATCTTGTTGCCTGAATATAGGTGTTTGACCTCTTGAATAAGAAGGCAAAGCTTCGAGTCCTGGAGGATGGCAAGCAGCAGGTCCAGGTTGTTGGTCTTCAAGAGAGACAAGTCAGCTGCGCTGAGGATGTCATCAGAATGATTGAGATGGGCAGTGCCTGCAGGTTTGGTGCTTTAAAACCAATAAGAAGAGTCATGTCCTGTTGTATCTCCATGTCTAGAAAAAATATATAATGTCTGTAGCTGGTGCTTTGAGACTTAAACAGAAGCTTGTTGTACCCAGTCATAGGCAGGCACTGAACAGCACCTCTGCATGAGTACAAGATGATGGCTACAGAATAAAGGGCTAGCAGGGATGGGTTTAGCCTGCCTTCCATAGAGAAGCTCAGAGTTCATGGTTCATATGTCCTCATGTAACTCCAAGAAGAGAGAAACTATTCACATGAGGAGATTGCTGCCCTGGTGCCACAGCCAAACTGAGCAGTCTGGCTGCTTTCTAGAAGTATCAGCTAGTTTACAGGAGCACAAGTAGCTCCTTCTGGGCTTGCAAGATCAAGGAAGAGCAGCTGGCATCAACCTACAGTTGCAAAAATGCTTTGGCTTAACTGCAGGCCAGACAAGGTATTCCAGTGGCAATAAAAATGCTACATGTCATTCAGGGATCTTGTCTAAAGAATCCTTGAGAGCAGGTGCCAAGGGACAGCCATAGGCTTGGCTCATCATCCTGGCAGGAAGGCTGTGGTTGGGCCAACACTACCATCATACTGGTGTATTTAATCAGGAGCCAAAATCTGTATTACCATGTCTTATCTGTCTCGGTTAAGTTGCAACTGCTATGGAAACATTACTAGGCAAATGAGAACTCCTTGGCTTCTGTATTACACTGCATGTGCAGATATGCACATACTGAAAGCTCATTCAGCACTCTGCTCTGCATGCTTTTTTGGCTGACAGTTCAGCCAAGAACTGTTTAACATTTCAGACTCCTGCCTCACTTTAGGACAACCTCCCTCCCTTTCCCGCAGCAGTAGGGACACAGGTGGGACAGCGAGCCTGCCAGCCTTCTCAGAGAATAACTGACAGCGAAGGTCACAGAGAGGTTTATGGTAACTTATAAGACTCCAGTCTGTGCCTTGCAGTGATGGGGCAGGTGCAGTTGCACAGCAGAAGTAAAGTGCCAAGCTAGCTTGGCTAGAGAAGAGGATTTAACATGACTGTAATGTGCTAGCACAGCTAAAGCTGTTTAGTGGGGAGCTTGGCTGAGCTTACTGTGTAATGGCAGTTGCATTAAGGAGAATGACATGTGGCCTGCTCTGAGGCAGGTAGATGCAGTGCTAAAGGTATGTCTTCCAGCTCCAAATGCATGCAAGGCATTAGCAGTCAGAAAGGCATTCCTGTGTAGGCTGGCTGAGTTGAGCCAGGCAGATTAAATAGTCTTAAACCTTTATAACTGGAGTGCAGGTTCATATTCTTCACACTAGTCCTTCTGTGCTCTCATATCAGAGGTAATTCCATAATTCATACAAGCTTGAGGTATTAATGTGTGGGATAAAACTGAGGAGGTTAAACAACTTAATGGCTGCAGGTCTTGTCTAGTGCTGTTGGGACCTCTTGTGTCTTCTGTGACACAGTTCTAAGGCTTGTTTTCATCTTTGCTGTAGGACATCTGGGCAGACTTTTGCAAACGCTAGCTCTTCACGGTCACACGCCTGCTTCCAAATCATACTACGCCAAAGAGGGAAACTGCTTGGCAAATTTTCCTTGGTGGACCTGGCAGGAAATGAGAGGGGTGCAGACACATCTAGCGCTGATCGGCAGACGCGAATGGAAGGTGCAGAAATCAATAAGAGCTTGCTGGCTTTGAAGGTGAGCTATAGCTCTGGGAGCAAACAGTGCTAATTAACACATGGATTCTGTTCAACTCTGGGGTTATCTGTTTTGTTTCTTTCCAGTGCAAGGGAAAAGAACAGCCAAATAGATCCTAGTTTGGTATGTTAACAACCCTGAAAGTGGTGTATACTTCCATTTAGAATGTTTCCAGGAAAGCAGTGCAGTCTTGTCAGGCCAGGTGCTGGTACAGCCATTTCAAGCTTCAGGTTCTCTTTTTTTTTTCTTTACATATGATGGATATACCAGCTGTCCTGTGACACTCAAATACCTGGAGTATATTTAAAAGGCTATGAAGTACTTTCAGAGCAAGAGATGACGATTCTCCAGACTGTTGGGTTTACCAGCAATTGGTGGTTGATAGCTTGCAGAGCTGTTAGAGAAGAGATGCAGATATTGCATTTACAAGACTTGTCTTTTCTTAGGAATGTATCCGAGCTTTAGGGCAGAACAAATCTCATACCCCTTTCCGGGAAAGCAAGCTGACCCAGGTGCTAAGAGACTCTTTCATAGGAACAAACTCAAGGACCTGTATGGTGAGTATGTGCATGACACAAACATACACACTGCTTATGGGTTCTGCAATTTGACCAAACAGCTGCATGCTCCTCTTCTAGTGTGAGGGGACTTTGAAGTCAGAAATCTTCAGTTCTCAGCAAAAAAGTCTTACAGTTTCCTCCTCCACTCACCCATGGTGACTGAGATCAAAAACTGGTGAGCTATGCCCAGCCCCAGTAGAAGCAGGGCTGCGGAAGTCACTTTCATACAGTGAATCTACAGTAGAGCCTGGTGTGCTCCCAAAGGGCTTTGCTGACTGTGGAGGGTCCAGCACAGTGAGTGTACACAAAGCCAGTGGAAAGCTGGATGCAGGGCCACTGGCATGTCCCACAGAAGCTATAAAGAAAAATGGCCTTGACAGAATGTCTCAACTCTGACCCTTTGCTCTAACATGTCCTAGCTGCCTGGTGAGACCTGTAGGACCATTAACATAAGCAAAAGTCAGATGTGGGAGTCACTGAGGTATTTTGTTCTGTTTGCAGATAGCAATGATTTCTCCAGGCATGAGTTCATGTGAATACACCTTAAACACACTGAGATACGCTGACAGGTAACGGCCTTTCTGACCTGGGGATTCTACTCTTGTTGCAGAAGGTGTTTTGGCTGCTTTTACTCTGACCAAAAGTTTTCTTGTCATTGCCTGTAACGGCAATCTGGAGGTTGGTTGTTAGGAACACGTTATCTTAGAGCTGTCTTATGAAACTAGCCTGGGTGTTCTCTGTGTGAGACATAATAGAGATTAAACACTGTGATTAATGTTCTTTCCTCAGAGGAGTCTCTCATGCTAGACTTCAAGCTGCCCTGTTTTGTGTGGTGTTTTGGTTTTGTTTTTTGTTTTTTTTTTTTTTTTGTAGGGAGTTTACTCTGTCCTGAATGATTACCCCTGTGCCTTTTACTTTTTGTAGTACTTTGGGTCTCATTTGTAGTACTTTGGGTCTCATTTGTAAGTGGTGTGCCAAGAATGTGTCCCTGACATGGCCCTACAGATGACACAAAACACTTGGTGTTCTTGATGGACTTTGATATGAACTAATTAGGGTATGGCACCTTGGAGACTTTGTGCAAAATCTGAAGGACCTGGAGAACTCAAATGCCTCGAAGCAGAGGGTGGGAGTGTGTGTTTTGAGTGCCCCATGGCTGACCTTGGGTACCTGCAGGGTAAGGTAGATTTGCAGGAACTGAGTCCCAGGTTTCCCTGGGGGTTTTGCTGATACCTGGAACCCCTGTGACAGAGCAGTGAGTGCCTCCTGGTCTCTGCTTTACATGCTTCTACATCTCTCCAATGAGGTGACAAGTAAAAAGATGACTGACTTTTGCCATAGGTTAACAAGATGACAATTGCACATGTCAGGTTTGGTAGCTTTCCTTCATTTAGTTCACAAAAGGCTGCTTGGTTCCTTCCTGGAAAGCACTCCGCTCTCTGAAAGGATGTATGGTAATTCATGTCATAAGCATTTGGGAACACTGAATCTTGACAGATTCCCAGCTTTGGTTTGGATTGAAGTTACATTTTTTTTTCTTCGGGTGGAAGTCATTCCTGCTCACCTGAAAGTACAGGACAAAATGCAACATCTGACTTACTGTGCTTCAGTAAGATTCCAGTCCTGAGTTGGGCCTATTGGGTTCTTAGCCAGTGCACAAGGAAAGTTCAAGCTATAAGAAAGTAGGTATTAGGCTGAAACTCACTGGAAATATGAAGCTGATGCTAGTAACTGCAATGAACTGCCCAGCTGGTATCTGACATCTACCTCTAGTACCATGTCATCAGCCATGGCTTTTATCCTTATAGACCTATTCTGGCACAGTGGGTCTCTGAGAAAAATAAGTTTTACTTCTTTTCTTTCCATACTAAATTCTCCTAGTTGGTCATGACAGACCAAGCTGACATGTGGAAGACAGCTTCTGTGAAAGGCATTGCTGGCAATTAGCATTGTGTACTTGGACATTTCCCTCCAGGAGAGGTCCTAGATTGGGCATGGAGACAAACATCTCTCAGCTTTCCTTCCCACAGCTCTCTGGGGTTTCTGCCCCTGTGAGCTTGTTCTGGGGGTGGTAATGTGCAACTTTTTAAGTGTAGATGAATGTTTCTTGCTGAGCACTGATTGATTGCAGTAGCTGTTTTGTGATGCTGTAGCCCAAAAACGGCTGGAAGAAGAGTTTGAGTGACAATTCTTCTTGTTGCAGAGTGAAAGAGCTCAGCCCTCATAATGGAGGTGGTGAAACACAGAATCAGATGGAGACTGAGAATGAGGAAACAGAGACCAGTGGAGAAGGCTCAGGTCACAATGTATGTGTGTGTCGTGGACTGAACAGATCTTAAAGCTGGGAACAACTTGCTGTTCTTACTTGGGCTGTTTCTTGCAGCTCTCCAAGGATGAGGAGGAAGATATCTCTCCCCACATGTTCAACTTTCGTGAGGCTATGACTCAAATTAGTGAACGGGAGGAGAAGGTTGTAGAACAGCTTAGAGAACTGAGACAGGTATGTGAAAGAGGCAAGCCCAGCCCAGGCTGCCTTCTACATGTTGATAGCACCTTGACTTGTCTGAGCCAAGTGCTGCTGGGTAGGCTGTGGGCTGTACTGCAAGATGCTGTCAGTGGTGTTTATCCTCACTGCCAACTTTTTCCTGTTGTTTCCTGCCCTGCTGGTTAAACTGGGGCATTTCAGTGCTTGTGGCCAGCTGGTCCCCCTTCCCCTCCAGCTAGCAACCTCTACTTGCTGCTAATGAGCACTGACTGGTACTGGTCTGTAGAAGCTTAGCTCTAAGTGCCAGATTTGAAGAAACTAATTGAATTTCCAGAAAGTCAATTTCTCATCACTGTTATCCTTGTAAATATAGAGAATGATGACTGAACTTGACTACCTCTTGGGAATCACGGAGCAACCAGACTATGATATTGAGACCTTTGTGAGCAGCGCTAACCTCTTTGTAGAGGCAAGCTCAAGAAAATTTCTTGGTGTCAGAGGTATGTTAGTGCCTGTCTCTGACTAGCACTGTCGCTAATGTTTTTTTCAAAGACCTGAAAGTAACACCAGCATACCTGTGGGGGTTTGAGCACCCAGTTCTTCTGCATAGCTTACAGTTTGGATCACTTTCCTAGGTGATCATAGGGACAGATCTGAGATGTCCTATTGTCTGCACTTTCCAAAGTAAAATTTTGGCTAGTAACTTCCACTTGCTTTGCACCTGCCATATAAAACTGCCTTCCCTTGAGCAGAATGCAACATCCACCAAGAGCAGATGAGCTGAAGTATGTTTGGCTAGTTGGTTATATAGTTTACCTTTTGCCTTGGCCAAAAACCAGAATTTGAGAAACAGGTCCCAGTGCCACATTCTAGGGATTCTTAGGGGTGTGCCCACTGTTTCCACTCCTGTTTTCATGGATATCAGGCCTTAATACCTATCCACTTATAACAAGGGTCTGCCAGATATATACTCAGATGCCATGTCTGCCAGCACCTGCATTTGGCATGCCTTTGCCTTAGTATAGGGTATTACTGTATGTGCAACAAAATCCCTCCAGCTGTTCAGTTCTGGCCCAGTTTGGAGACTTCCCAGCTCTGTACAGGAGGATGTGGGCTGCCTGTTCCCTGAGCACTGCCTGCCTGCCTTTGGACCATGCTGGTTGAAGTGGTGGTAGAGAGGCAGCAAGGCAGATGTAGGAACTTGGCTGACACATGGCAACAGAGTGCTGGGTAGGTAGACTGCCTGACTAGGACAGGGGAAGCTACACTGGTAACTTTTCTGCCACTGTTGCAATAACTTGGGCTTTGATTGCTACTTGAGCCATTACAGCTGGCATAGTCTTTGCCTCAAAAACAGGGCTGTGAGGCTTTATTTTAATGAGGCTGAAAACTGTGGCATCAAAATGAACTGTTAACATGAAACAGTGACTTTTTTCTTAAACAGCCCTGACTGTCCTCCCACCTCAAATGCAGCCTGATAGCTGTACCCCTCCATTCACCATGGAGGGGTGGTGACAAGACAGTAAGAGTAAATGCCCTGCTACCCTCTCTGCCTTATAGGCCAGGGAAATCTGGCCCTCTGGGATGGTTGGATTAGTGGTATCTCATTTGAACTGCAAACTGCAAGCTTCAAGCTGTTGATGAGTAGAAATGAACAAGTACAGCTGAAGAGCTTTGTGGGACCCAGCAGGATTTGATGTTGGCTGAGCAGTTCTTGCCCAGTTCACTTTCCTCTGTAGCCCTTGCAGAGCCCTGCTGAGGGGGACAGCTGGGCTGGGGAGTTCAGTTTCCAGGTCAGTCACCCTCTCACTGTCTTCCTTCACAGAAACGTTGGATGCCCTGGGGGCTGCCATGCAACTGGAGGAGCAAGCCAGCAAGCAGATGAGGCGGCAGAGGCCTTAGTAAATACAGCAAAACCTGGTTCACAAGCAGTCTTCTGTATGTCTTGCATGTTTGTCAGTGGTTTGTCCAACTCCTATTTTAAATGTGGTAGAGCGTCTGCAGATCACGTGTGCCTGAGGGCAGTGAACATGGCAACCTCTCTCTCTTCATGGCCTGGTATCAGGGTACTCAGCAGAGCGATAGAAACACACCCCCTCCAAGGCTTGGGGAGGGGGACCCGAGAGTCTGCTAGATGTGTCTAGCATCTGGCCCTTTGCTAATGACAATGGTCTCCTCTAATAGAACTAGATACACATGTATAGTTTTCTAGTGTACATATAACCTTTCCAGATGTGCTTGCAACATCGCAAAACTGTTGCGAGTCTGGCTTTTCTAGAAAGAAAGCGGACTATATGTAACTGTAAAAAAACCCAGTATTTTAAGGAGTTTGATAAATAAATGTTCCTGGATTTAATTATCTTCTATCTCTAAAAAATATATTTCTTGCTGATATTGGTAAAGTCTAACAGCCCCTAAAGACTGGCTGGTGTTGTAGAGATAGGCTGATTTCTTGGATGAAGTTTCTTTTTAAAGTCTTTCCACTTGTAATGTGTCCATAAAAATCACTCAGAATAAATTGTTTCTTAATTTTGAGATCCTGCTGGCTAGAACTTGCCTGCCACGGGGGAAGCTGGTTTAGAGGGTACCTACCCTGCACCTGAGCAAAGCTCAGCATGTAGCGAGTAGTTCAGCTCTTATGATATCAGGTAAGTAGGAGGGGCCCTGTGAGACTCCCTTGTACCATAGGGGTTTACTTAGGCTTTGAAGGTAGCCCAGGATGTTGCTTCACATTTTTTCACATATATTTCCTGTGGCTAACGTGCCACATTAAAATACACGTTCAGTAGCCCAGCAAGATCTGTATTTGAGGGCAGAAGTGCAAAGCTGGCCGTGGCTCAGGTGCAGCAAGGTGCTGCCATGGCCCTTGTGTGCAACCTTGGTCCAGGTGGCCCCATGCAACCTGTCCTCTGGGAAGGAGCAGGCAGAGGGGCAGGGTGGGGGAAGATAGATAGGAAGCATGTGTTGCTGCCCTCTGTTTTCTGTTTGTTCAGCTCAGTCCAGGGCTTGTCTCTGAAAGGACAAGACAGGCCTGTGAGCTCTGGGTCCAGCAACACAGGATGCAGCTACACAAACATCAGATTACAAAAGGATCCTTTTACTGTTACTCCCTTTTTCCCTAGACCCCCACCCTAGTCTCCTACTTCCTGAGCTGCCTTCTACCCCTGAAAGTAAAGGATGTGATTTAACTGACAGTGGTCCCAGCTCTGCACATACCTCTGGACTGCATCCTTGCCATGTCTCTGGGGATGTCTACTATATTGGAGGCCAGTTCTTCAGCCTGGACTGGATCCATTTTTGTGTACCATGTCTCAGGACTGTCCTGGAAAAGGCAGCAAAAGAGTTAGGACCTTAATGGAATGTGGGCAAGCAGTGACAAGCAGCTAGAGCTGGGATAATTCAACCCAGACAGGATCCTCCCCTAAGCTGGGGCACTTTGTGATCAACAGTTTAGGTACTGGTGGGGCTGAGTGCTCTAAGGGCCTCTGAACTGTCAAAGCTGACTTGTACCTAGGCTCTGCCTGCATCACATTAAGATGGCACATCCAGAGTAAAAAGGCTGTTATGCCCTACTGAGTTTGGACTAAAGCAAGGCAGTCCTGTTCCACTTCAGATGTTACTTTATTATACTTGGATTATCTAGCCTTGCCTGGTGTCTTAGGGTGAGGGAGGATAGGCCTGAGTGCAAGGAAAAAAATGTTGCCTCTTGTTTGTTCCACCTTCCCTCGCTGGACCTAGCATTGCTTACTAATCTGTATATCCACTAGGAGGATATAGAGCTAGAGTCAGGAGAGACCTGATTTGGAGGAGCTCAGGTTACCTCTTGCTTCAGTGGCCCTTCAGCTCACATTTCTGACATCACATTCCCACTGTCACAGAAATAGCAGTAGTCTGAGATCCCTCCTTGCTCTGTCTTGGGGCTGAGTCAGAACAATTATCTTCCTGAATACTGAGACTGAAAGTGAATGCTTCTCAAAGGGTGGCTTTGTTTATTTCTGGGCTCTTGTGTAAGATTGGATTTCTTGTGAAAAGAAATACAGTCCCTACATCCCTGAAAAACAGACCAAGGTCCTAGGGCAACTAATAAACCCCATAAGGGAGGCAGGCTTACCATAAAGTGCTGGAACAGTGTGTGTCCTAGTGCCTTCTTTACACACTCCTCCACAAAGGGAAATGTGTGGACAAAATACTGCAACAGAACAGAGTTGGTATGTAAGGAGAAGGGATGTGAGTGTGTGCATAGAGGGTAGAGCTGCATGGATGACGTGGTTCCATATAACCTGTGCCACATACCAGTGAGTCCCTGACCCACCTCCTTTAGTGACAGCGCTACTGCTGGGACTTCATGAACACATCAAGAGAAAATTGTGGGTCCCTCCTCTCCCCTAGTGCCAGTTCCCACCTTCATTGACAAGAGAAGGGAGGGTGTTTCGGTGAAATGATGGCAGTGCAGTAGTTGCCAGGGAGTTCATCCTCCTCTGCTGTTGGTGCCTGCTCAGAGGAAGGGTGCGCTAACCCTCTGCATTACCAGGTAGGTTTGTAAACCCTCTTTCACCCTGAGCAGCCTGGTTCTCAGCTATCACTCATTCAGCCCTTCCCATCAACTGACAGCATGGTCTTTCCTTTGTGACTGTTAGGCAGGCAGAGCACTGTGCTGAGGCAGGCCAAAGCTCTTTACCCAGCACCAGCAGGAAAAAATAGGCTGCTTGTAATTCTGTGCTAGTGTCTTGCTTCAGGCAAATTGTCTTGGTTAGCCTCTTAGCTTTGTATGTGCTTGCTACCCGCAGCAAGCCTGGGGGTAGAACAGAGGTGCGAGGGCCAACATTGGCTTCCCAGCACTCTGTGTGGTGAGTGGCAGGAGGGAGGCAGACAGGAGGGGAAATACAGCTCTTTCCTGAAGCAAGTGTCACTCTTGCCTTTGTGAATAAGCCTGTATCATCTGCTGTGCTTAGGTGTATTGGCTTTGTGTGGCAAGGTTTTGGTAGTGGGGTGGGGAGTGTTACAGGGGTGGCTTCTGTGAGAAGTTGCTGGAAGCTTCCCATGTGTCCAACAGAGCCAATACCAGCCGGCTCTAAGATGGACCTGCCACCGGCCAAGGCCGAGCCAATCAGCAATAGTGGTAGCGCCTCTGTAATAACATATTTAAGAAGGAAAAAAAAGTTGCTGAGACAGAAACAGCAGCTGGAGAGAAGAGTGAGAACATGTAAGACAAACAACCCTGCAGATACCAAGGTCAGTGAAGGAGGGGGAGGAGGTGCTTCAGGCACTGGAGCAGAGATTCCCCTGCAGCCTGTGGGGAAGACCATGGTGAGGCAGGCTGTCCCCCTGCAGCCCAGGGAGGACCCCATGGTGGAGCAGGTGGATGCCTGAAGGAGGCTGTGACCCCATGGGAAGCCTGTGCTGGAGCAGGCTCCTGGCAGGACCTGCAGATCTGTGGAGAGAGGAGCCCACAGAGCAGGTTTTCTGGCAGGACTTGTGACCCCATGGGGGACCCACATTGGAGCAGTGTGCTTCTGAAGGACTGCACGCTGTGGAAGGGACCCATGCTGGAGCAGTTTGTGAAGAACTGCAGCCTGTGGGAAGGACCCACATTGGAGAAGTTCATGGAGGACTGTCTCCTGTGGGAGGGACCCTATGCTGGAGCAGAAGAAGAGTGTGATGGGTCCTGCCCCTGAGGAGGATGAAGCAGCAGAAATAATGTGTGATGAACTGACCGTAAACCCCATTCCCTGTCCCCCTGCACCACTGGGGGGGATAGGTAGAGAATTCGGGACTGAAGTTGTGCCTGGGAAGAAGGGTGGGGTGGGGGGAAGATGTTTTAAGATTTGGTTTTATTTCTCATTACCCTACTCTGATTGGTAATAAATTGAGTTAATTTTCCCCATGTTGAGTCTGTTTTGCCCGTCATGGTAATTGGTGAGTGATCTCTCCTGTCCTTATCTTGACTCATGAGCCCTTTGTTATATTTTCTCTCCCCTGTCCAGCTGAGGAGGGGGGAGTGATAGAATGGCTCTGGTGGGCACCTGGCATTCAGCCAGGGTTAACCTGCCTCATTAGGGGAAAAAAAATCCCAGTGTAAGGAGCCTTTCTGCTCAGGTGCACAGGGAGCAGACCCTGTGCTATGATGTCCGCTGCCATGTACCACCATGCGTACCTCCAGGGAGATGCTGGCATGTCTCTGGCTGGCCACATGATCCAGGTTCCCCAGAGCAACCATCAGGCCAGGTACTACTTTCAGCTGGATCAGTTCTTCAGCCACTTCTGCTGACTCCTTGGCTAATACACTGCAATGAGATAAGCCATCAGCCCCTACCCCATACGGGGGAAGAAGCACACAACAAATTAAGTCTGGGCCTCTTGGTGCAAGCCCAATGGAAAATGATGTGTTCCCACCCAGTCTTAGTGGCACCAACAGACAGGAAAGTCTCAAAATAAACAAGAAATGTTTGGCCGTGCATGGGATTAGCAATCATTTAACATGTGAGCTTGCTGAGAACCAGTTGTTTAACAATTGGCAGGAGCTTCCTGGTGTGTATTAAAGTCTAGCAAGTTTCTTTTGTGACCACAAAAACCCCAGGATTCAAACATCACTACTATTACTTCTGCGAGCACATCCCTGGAAGACACTCTAGTATGTCTCCCCATCCACCAACCACTTTCTGTCATCTGCTTTTGCAGGAAAAGTGTTCTGATAGCACTACCTTGTGGACATTGCAGGAAATTCTGAATGAACTGAATGAACCAATTTTAGCACACGCAGCTGAATTTCCTTAGGGATTCTGCGGTCAGTCATAGGCACTAGATTCTTCCATTGGGTGGCTGATGTTAAATAACAGTGTTTCACTGCTTGCTGTGGCTCCCAGCTATGTAGAGAATACAGTGGCCGTGAGCAATATAGCACCCTTCAGCCCTGTGCTGTGGCAGGATGCATACATTGCTTCCAGGCCTAGCCATAAAGGAGACACTGTGAAGGCACACAGGGCTGGAGCAGATGGGATTCCACATATCCTTATAAATAAAACTTCAAGCCAGCTCCAGAGTCAGTAGCAGGGAGGGTCTGAGCATTGCTACTTGCAGGCAGCGGCTCTACCCTATTCCTGAATACACCCCCATCTCTGAACAGTCTAGTACAAAGAGTCTTAGCAGAGCTGGGGTACTTAGAGAGCAGTGCCAGAGGTGAACGGGTCAATGCTCCCTGGGAGGAACATCCCAGTCCTTTCCTACCCAAAGGAAGCCACTTTTCTAAAGTCCCTTTTATGCTCCTGTAGATTTTCCTCTGGAGTTTCTTACCCAATGGCTTTTGCAGCAGCTGCCTGCTGAATATACACCAGCACGGGCTCCCTCAGGCAAAGTGCTGTTGGATCTGCATGAGGAACATTAGGAAGGTGAGAGTGATGCTTTGAAACACTTCTCAGATGTTAGAAGGGAGGGTAGGTGGCGTTACACTGCTAGCATAAAAGGAGGATGTTGCTTTTTCAGGAAAACCTGAAAACAGGAAACCCTGTGGCTATGTATCTATCATATGTAGTACCCTGTGAGGATCTGTGCGTGTGATGCCCATGGCAGCACAGCCACAGCTCAGAGAGCCTGGGCCACTGTGGCCTGCTCTGCTGAGTCGGGGGGAGGAAACACCTGGGGCTGGAACTGTTCACCGTCCTTGCCAGCAGACCTCAACGGCTCTCTGGAGGCCTGCACGCTAGGGTTCGTGCTGCAGGCAAGCACTGCCTCGACCCGGGCAGCCCTTGCTGGAGTGTCCCTCGCCTCAAGGGGCAGCCCCCTGCACCTCCTCCAGTACGAGTCAGGGCGATGGCTGAGCCTTGCAGGAGGAGACGAGGGAGCTTGGGAGAAACACCCCCCTGGTTGTCCTGGCAGGCCATGGCCTGCTGTGTACTCGGAGGCCATGGTCAGCTCTTTTACCTTTGGTGGTCTCATCACAGAAGGTAAATGCTTTCTTCCTGGGTGGCGTCAGTAATGCAACCAGGCCCTTCAGCAGGAGTGGCTGGACCTCGAGGGCCATGAGGGCCTTCAGCAGCTGGACGGCTGGAGGAGACAGCGGCTGTCAGCACTGGGACATACTTGCATTTCGGACGCGTTTGCAGTGAAACAACAAGATTTTGATGCCGCTATCATATGAATTCCACAGGCTCATAGCTTCCACCACTGTTTCATAAAACCACTCTGCTTTTGACCAGGTAAAGGGCAGCTCCACCGAAATGGAGCCTCAAAAAATTCCTCGACACTCGTACCTGTTCCTCTCCACGGAAATCTTTAGTAAAAGGCGAAAGATTTATGCGATCTGAAGAGAAACCAGAGTATACCTGTTCCTCCGCCCCCGGCACACCACATGCCTGCCGCAAGCCCCACAAGTCAAGGCGACGGACGGACGCCCGCCC